ATAGATAGATAGATAGATAGATAGATAGATAGATAGATAGATAGATAGATAGATAGATAGATAGATGGCACAGGGCAAGTTGAAGATGAAGAGGAGATATCTGGAGAATAAAATTAAAGGGTGAGAGAGGATTATACTGGGAGAAAGAGAAAGGGAGAGGTAGAATGGGGTAAATTATCTCACACAAAACAGACAAGAAAAGGCTTTTACAGCAGAGGGGAAGTGGGGAAAGGTGAGAGGGAATGAGTGAATCTTATTCTCATTGGATTTGGCTTAAGGAGGGAATACCATACATGCTCAATGGGGTATGAAAATCTGTCTTACCCTACAGGAAAATAGGGGAGAAGGGGACAAGAGAGCAGGAGGATGATAGAGGGGAGGACAGATTGGGGGAGAGAGTAATCAGAAGCAAACACTTCTGAGGAGGGACAGGGTCAAAAGAGAGAATAGAATAAATGGGGGGCGGGATAGGATTGAGGGAAATATACTTAGTTTTCCACAACATGACTACTATGGAAGTGTTTTGCATGACTACACATGTATAACCTGTATTGAGCTGCTTGCCTTCTCAATGAGGGTGGGTGGGGAGGGTGGGAGAAAATTTGGAACCCAAAGTTTTAAAAACAAATGTTAAAATTGTTTTCACATGCAACTGGGAAATAAAATATACAGGCAATGGGGTATAGAAATCTGTCCTGCTCTACAGGAAAATAGAAGGGGAAAGGGATAAGAGAAGGAGGGGGGAGATAGAAGGGAGGGCAGATTAGGGGAAGGAGAATTCAGAATGCATGCTGTCTTGGGGTGGGGGGAGAGGGATGAGATGGGGAGAAAATTTGGAACTCAAAATCTTATGGAAGTGAATGTTAAAAAACTAAAAATAAATAAATAAATAAATAAGGAAAAAAAGATTCTACCTTTCTTTTCTGAATTATTTGAAACTTATTCTCTCAAAGTCCTGGGTCCTTCTCTGACTATGCCCAGCCTTCTCTTCTTTATGTTTCCCATCACCTACATCTGCAACTTGTGTGACCTTGGGCAAGTCACTTAACCTCCTTGGGCCTCAGTTTCCTCAACTGCAAAATGAGAAAGTTGAAGTAAAATCCCCTTAAATCCCATTCATCTTTAAGTTCATGATCCTATGATTCTATCATGAAATCTGATATGGATTAGCTACTTCCCTCCGAGGTTCTAATCATGCTACTTTGGAAACTTCACTAATACTCCCTTGTTGCTTTCTCTACCTTCTTAAGGTTGAAATGACCAGTAAGGCAAGTTAAAATTTACAAATTTCTTAGCAGTTCTGCTTTTGGCAAAGAGGAATTTCTAGATGCTCTGGATAATTGAAGTTCCTCACCATTACTATATTATCCTCTATACCAGCATTTTGGCTTACTTTTGGAACTCGCTATCTAATTTCTGCTTCTGGCTGGGGGATCCATAATATAAAAGCACAGTATGATTGGTGTTTCTCCTTTCATTTATCTTCACTCAAATGTTCTTCATGATGTTTCACTTACCTAACCCTTAGCTTTCCACACTGTATTATATTTTCTTGTTATACAATGCTACTTCACAGTGAAGAAATGCTACTTTTCTAATGAGAATTCTTAAAGACAAGTCTGCAAGTAAGGGATAAATGTATATCTCTTCTCTTTTTAACTTCACATTCTAATTTGACTGGTAGTTTGCTTCCAGACTTGTTAAGTCTATTTTAAGCCTTTAATGAGGCATGTTCTGCCAGACAAGTGGTTTTTGTCTCTGCCCTGTTCCTCTGTTCGTGTGATATGAAAGGCTGTATTTGAGGATAAAAACAGACAGTGATTTTTTTCCCCCATCATTCAACTAAATTTGTTGATTACATCAAAAACAGTCTATAATTTAAACACATATGTGATGATTGAAGTGACCATTGCCTGAATAAGTGACATACTGCATATGATTACAAACATTCATGCGCACGGTAAAAGTGAAATCATAATTGTATGTGGATTGAAATTTGTTATATTTAAACTTCTAAATGAATATTACTTATTTTCATACCTAAATACTTCAGAGGCTCTATGTTTTGTTTTGTTTTTTTATCATTGAAGGACTCCTTCTATGGACATCAATTTTGAATTCACCATCCTTTAGTACATAGTTTCAAGGGATTCCTGTGGATGATATAGATATAGATATGGATATAGATGTGGATAGATATATCACTGGTAGCCAAGCTTCTGGTGATGATAAATCTGATTCTCCAACCTTAGGTACATTAGTCCCTTCATAACTGACATGTAGTCCACTGATATCAATTCAGAAATTGATCTAATTGATTAGAGTAGAAATCTAATCTAATTAGAAATCATCTAATGAGAAATTTTCATTTTTACAGTATCTAAGGTCATACATCTAGTAAGTGACTCCAGTAACCCAGTGACTCCAGTGGTCCTATGACTCCAAATCCACCCCAACTTTCCAAAGTCCCAGGCTTCCTTGTTACACCCAGCTTCCCAACTCAGGGACTTTCACACCTTATGCCCCATTGGCATAGCCTTTCAGACCCCACAATCACCTTCATGCTATGACCAGCCAGTTAATGGAGGAATTCTATTTATGTATATGTCATCAATATTTGTTTTCCTTTAGAACTAAGGACATAGCAAATTTCATAGCTTAAAAAATACCTTTAGCCATTTATTCAGAAACACATTTAATAGTTTGGACAATTGATGTGACTGGGGAAATCACATTTTAAAACATTTGCATTCTATATATTTCACCCAAGATTGACCCCCTCAGATAGGATCAAAAAGCTCTAAATGCAGTATTATGGAAATGTTTCCTTGTGTTTACTTAATAACTGTAATACAGAATTTTGGGGGTTCCTTTTTATTCTGGGAGGCCAATTATGTGCTTTTCCTAGTCATATTTTGTCTGTTGCCTTGAGAGAAAAAATAGGAGCAATGTGCTGCATGAGTTTTTTTTTTACTTAGTTTTCATGTAATTTTGCTTATATGCATTGTAAAAGTGAGGAAATAAGAGTCAGATAATGATGAGAGAATTTCCCAAAATTGCAAAAAGTCAGTATAAGAAATGAAAATGGAATTCCTGACACTCACTTCATGGACTTGCCTTCTGTTCAGGTCAATGCACTAATACTTTGAGCATATTTGTCTCTAGCATGGAAAAAGTTGATGAAAAACAGCAGCAATATATAGTCATGGCATCCTAAAAAGAATACCATACTTTATCAAGTTAAGTCCTCAGTGATCCATTTAACCTGGTTTTTTGTTGTTGTTTCATTCTAAAATGGCAGCATAATTTAGCAATTTTTTTCCTCCAGCATGATTTAGACTTAAACAAGAAAATCTTTGCATTCAATATATAATCTCATGCATAGCCTATTTGTTTTCTTAACAGACATTTCCCTTGTTTTATTGATAAAAGGAGGATCCCTTTCTGGAACAGATAGCTATCAGTCTTTGGTCCATAAGACATTTGGCTTTTCAGGGTATCTACTCCTCTCATCTCTACAATTTTCATATCCTTTCATTGGTAAGGCCACTATGAAGTTAAATATTGACAATTATTTTCATGATTGTGACAGTTCCCTCTGACATAAATGGCATTTACAATGAAGCAATGATAAAGATTTTATGTAGTCTGTATATTGTAAAGAATAAATGTAGCCATTGTTTATCTAGTTACTTCATAAAATAATAATTCTAAGAGGAAACCTAAGACCACTATCATGTTATTTCTCTCTTTGCCCATATTGCCTCCTTCCCAATTCTAAAACCCTGACTTTTAACTTCTTCAGACCTCACTTGCCAGGTTCCAGGTGAGAGATTCTCTTCAGTCAGTCCAGATCATAGTATCAGCGCCAGTGGCACTTGACCTGTTTCTGTATGGATGTAGAGGCTAGCGTTACACTTCTGTCAGTATGTCAGACATTATCCTTTTCATGGTCCACTTCAGAAAGTAATCCCAAAGAGGATGTGCTCAAAGGAACTCAGACAGTAAAACCAGAAGAAGTGGAATATTCTGCTTAATTTGTTGGCCCTCTTCTGTTTCATTTTCATGAGAATCTGTGCAGGGTAAAATGAGAGTATTACAGGAACATATACATGTCTTCTTGGGTCTTGGACCAACAAGTCAAATCAATGAGCATTTATTAAGCACTTACTATATGCCACGTCCTGTGCTAAATTCTGGATGTGCTAAGGTTTAGGGATGACTAAATAAGAAGTGGAACGAAGAGTATCAAATAGTTAAAAACTGAAGAGCATTTCTGTGAACTTAATGGCTCATGAAAAACATTTGCAAGGCTAATAGTCTATTTATAAAATAATTTCTGTGATTTGACTCACTTGAAACTTACAGTAAATATTCCTTACTATGTGTAGTATCATAATGAAATGGTAATCTATTAATTGTTAATATACAAAATCAATTCACCATAGATACTTGCCTGAGTGAACTGAATGTGTTAAATAAGTCACTAACAAGTTTATAGCATTTTCCTAATTGTTTTCATGACAAATTTAATTGGTGATTTTAACATATGTCATATCAGCCATCTTACAAGTTGTGCAATGGCTATAAATCTCAGTAGAAAAGTCAAGGATTATAAAATTTCTAGGAAAAGTCTTCCTTGTTTTTGCAAGTGAGGTGATGGTTTAAAATTTCTTCCCTTTTTGTTGTTGTTGTAACTCAGTACATGTGTTCTTTAACAGGGTGATCAATAATTTTGACTATAGGATTGACTATTTAAAGGGTCCTGGGATGAATTCCTTTGTAAAGTAAACATTTATTTTCGTAATGTAAATAACTACTTGTCTGTCTTCTGACTTGAGATTTTAAAATTTGGGGTCATCTTGAATACTGGGTGTACAGTTGAATTCATATATTTTAGTTGAATAAATCAGAGAATGCCCATATTAGAGAATACCTGTAGCCTCAGACTATTCTTCAAACTATTCAAGATATAAATAGAATTTTAGAAAAAGTAGCGATAACAGATTTCTGACAATCAACGAATGGGAGCAAAAATGATTTTATGCATTTCTAAGTCATGCATGGCATATTTACAAAAATTTACCATGTGTTGGGACATAAAAACCTCACAAACCAATGCAGAAAATCAGAAATATTTAACACAATCTTTATTGACTACAGTGCAACAAAATCATCTTCAATAAAGGATCAGAGAAGAAATTGCTTAAAATTAATCAGAGATTAACTTAATGCTAAAGAATTGGTAAGTAAATGAACAAGTCTTGGAAATGATGGAAAATTTCATCAGAGAAAATTACAATGAGACAACATACAACATATTAAAACTTACGGGATATAGCTAAGATAGTCTTTAGGAAGGGAATTCTAAATACTTTCTTAAACAAAAGAAAGAAAAACAAATCAATGAACTGGGCATGCAACTTCAGAAAAATAGAAAAGCAACAAATTAATCCCCCACCTAAACGTGAAAATAGAAATTCTGAAAATCAAATAAGAGTTTCACAAAATTGAAAGCAAAAAGATAAAAAACAAACCCAAGACAAAAAACATTGAAATGACATATAGAAGTAGGAGCTTTTTTTTGGAGGAACTACTCAGGATTAAGTATATGATTGATAATTGTGAATGATATTAACTTATAATCTTTATTTTGTTTCTAGCTATGATTAGCTATAACATAATAACAGGAGACACTCTAAGCAAAGTTTTTCAAAGAATTCCTGGAGGTAAGTTTTAATGAAAGATTTTTTGAGCTATTAATTACATTCATATGGTTTCTTTAGTTGATATTTTTTGTGAAGAAAAACCACCAAGTGGTGATTTTTAGTTGTCTTACAGCCATGCTTCCTAATAGTAATATTCATCTTCATTATACATCATTCATATTATCTTCATACATTTCTATACAATTATTTCTCAGTAAACTAAGAACAATTTTTTTGGAAATTATCATATAGTCAAATATATCTTTTGCTCTTTGTACTATATATATTCAGTACTTTATATATTCAGTGATTCTAATACTCATGCTCTCTATTTTCTTAGAGGGAGCCTTAGAGATCATCTAGTCCATCCTTCTGTACCATGCAGGAATCTCCTCAACAGCATCCTGAATGTATTTTTATCTAGCCACTGTTTGCACATTTCCAGGGAATGGAAATTCACTACCTCACAAGGAGGTCAATTCTATTCAGTTTTTTTATATAGCTATAAGTGGTAGTCATTTTTTCTTTATATTGAACCAAAATCTAATTTGCACCCATTGGTCCTACTGCATCACTTGCAAGCTATAAAGAATAAATCTAATCACTCTTCCACAAGACTAAAAATAACTATGAATCTATGTCCTACCCAATTTTCTCTTTAAGCTAAACATCTTTAATCCTCTTAGGACCTCATAGGACATACTGATTACAATCCTGTCAGAACCTTCTGCTTTGTCAAGACAACTCCTAAGTATCATCGGAATCAATCAGAAGCAAATATGATCTGATCAGTGAAGAGTACAGTGGGATTGTTTCCTCCCTCCTTCTGATAACAATGTTCCTATCTGTCGACAGCTCCCCACTCTTGAGTTACATTGAGCTTTCAGCCACCTAAAACCTCTACGTATTTATCACGTGCATTATTATTTATCCAGGTATCTTCAATCCCATATGTGGGCAATTGGTTCTTCAAACTCTAAATGTAGTACTTCACATTTGCTCCATTAAATTTCAACTTATTAGTTTTACTCCACTGTTCCATACTGTTAAAATCTCTATAGCTCCTGGTTCTGTCATCAAACAGTTAATGATGGCCCTTATTTTTGTATCATCCCCTGCGCTGATAAGCATGGTATAGGTCTTCAAATCTTTGATATAAAATATTGAGTAGGACAGGCTGAGGACATCTCTATAGAAAAATCCCAGAAAGCTTCCTCAGGTTAACATCCATTGTTAATCTTGTGAATTCATTTATTTAACCAGTTTTGTGTCTACCTAACCACTGTTGTTCAGCCTTCATTTACACATCTTATCCATAAGAGGCAACATGGTATGGTGGATAAAGAGCTGGCTTCAGAATCAAAAACATCTTGGTTCAAGTCCACCTCTTTCTTACACTGACTCTGTGATCCTGGGTAAGGCAGTAAAAGTACTCTCAGTGCCCAAGACAACTTAGAGAGTTGAAACTATAAATTTAGAGAAAATACCATTTTGTATTGTAGAGAGAGTGTTCTCATTGATTTCCCTCTACCAAAGAAATCATATAAATCTAGTCTCAGTAGCATGAGAGATTAATTGCTTATAGACTTCCAGATCTAGTAAAATCTTAAAATGACTTTTAAGATACATTTTAGAAATAAACAATAATTAACTTTATATAGCATTTTATAAGATAGTTAACCAAGTACTTTCCTAGGAGGTAAGTAAATAGCATCTCTGCCTTACAGAGGAGGAAACTAAGGTAGCTTACCTGTGGTCACACAACCTTGCTTAGTAGAGTGCCTGACACACAGTAGGCACTCAATGAATGTTTTTAATTGATTGACCATATTATCTTAGACAAGAAGACAATTTCAATCTATGCTTCCTCTGCCCCTCCATCCAACTTTTATTTATAAAATGTATCACCTAAGCCCAGGGGTCAACAATCTGCTTTGACCCAGTGCCACTCACTAGTGATGTTGGGTTACAGTTGTCATTCCTAATGGTCAAGACTCCCTTATGTGAAGGCAAGTAAAAATAGGGAAACTTTTCTGACATGGAATACCCAGGCCAAATTAGGGGAGACAAAGTCTGGGTAGATATCAGTTTACTGACTAGGTAGCCCATGAACTTGAAGGGGTATAGGATTGACAAAGAGAAATCGGAAAGATTCTACTGTCCCAAGGGAGTAAAGCAGCTACTGACTGCCTCTTCTAATCTCAGCATTGAAGGAACACTGGAATCCATTGTACAAGGTTGATTGTGATGACGTCAGCTCCTTAACTTGTGTTCTTTAACAGTTTTATTATAATGTGAGGCCCTATTCATCATACTTGAAGCTTACAAAGACTGTGTAAGTTCTGCTGTTTCTCGGTTAGCCAATCCCTCCTTGAGAATGGTATCAAGTGGGCGTCTTAATCTCTTCTGAGTAACCATTAGAGGTCAGGGTGACTTAATACCTGTCAAGCCAGGTAAATAAGCTAAGTTTAAATTTGACCTCAGACACTGAGCAAGTCACTTAACTTCTCTTTACCTCAGTTTTCTCATCTGTAAAATGGGGATAATAATAGCACCTACCTCCCAGGGTTGTTATGAGGATCAAATGAGAATAAGTGTAAAGCACTTAGCACAATGCCTTGCACATAGTAAGAGCTACATAAAAATTACCTATTATTAGTTATTGTTATTCTTTCTAGGTTCCATGAGCTATTAAACCACTAACAAGTTGGCTTTTAATCACAGTAAAATTATAAAGGTTAATGCCATCCTCCTTCCATATTTTCACTCATAACCACAGGATAAAGATAATTAGGTACTGGGATGAGTTCAGTGCCTCCTTGGGGTAGCAGGGTTTCCTGTGGGATAATTCGGGTACCAGGGCTAATACTTACTGAAGGGGTAGTCACAAACAATTGTACCTCCCTAGGAGGATTAATATGGTTAAACTTTAGCCTGCCTTTAGATCATAAGCTTCTTGATGGCAGAGACTGACTTTTGCCTCTTTTTGTGTCTCTAGGACTTAATAAATGTTTATTGATTGATTAATTGATTGATTGTCAGTTGCAGGAGCACAAGAGTGCCAAGCTAACCTTTGACTCTTCTGTCCTGGCTCTCTTAGTCCATAAACTGACCATACCCGTGACTTGACTAATGAAAACTGTGTCTCCCATTTTTGGAGGGAGCTTGCTTATTTGAAGTTTCCTTTGGTGATAAGGATTATTGGTCACCAGCACAGGCATGTTCTATCTAGAGTCAGTCAAGTGAGATCTTCTTTCTGTGCCACTCCACTTTGTGGTGCCTATGGAATCAAAACGTAGCTTGTCAAAAATCCTCTTCTTTCTTTCAAACTTGCTGTATAGAGGCATATACTAGGAATAAGTGAAGCTGTGAAGAAGGGATGCTGGCTCAGAAATTACAGGGTTTAGAACTGGAGGAGGCCATGGACACAAACCCTATCCCAGAATCAATATGGCTTTCCTAGAGTAACCTATACCTGTCATTCCTAAAGCAGGGAGTCTCCCATGGATGCCACCCCTTGGAAAAGGGTACTGCAGAGAGAATGCCAAGACACACATGGGTTAAAATTCGACCTCCAACTTTTTGCTAGTCATGTAAACACAACCAAGTCACTGAATTTCTCTGAGCTTGAGTTTTTTCATCTCTAACATGAAAACAATAATAACCTGTTGTTCAGTTGTGTCCAACTCTTCATGACCACATTTGAGGTTTTCTTGGCAAAGAGAAAAACCACTAGAGTGGTTTGCCATTTCCTTCTCCAGCTTATTTTACAGATGAGGAAACTGAGGCAGACAAGGTTAAGTGGTTTGCCCAGGGTCACACAGCTAATAAATGTCTGAGGCCAATTTTGAACTCAGGTCCTCCTAACCTCTAGGGAGGGAGCTCTATCCACTATACCACCTACCTGCCCATAACACCTGTAATATCTACCTAAATTGGTGATTGTGAAGATCAAATTAGATACTGTATGTAAAGCACTTTGCAAACCTTAAGGCATGATATATAGATGGAAGCCATTGTTGTAAATCTCCCCACATTTGCTTTTTGCCTAGAATGAACTGTTTATTTTTTTTTAGAGAAACAAGAGATGTGATCAAAGAGTGCTTTGCCTTTGATGGATTATCTTCCCCATCATTACGTGTGACTCGTCTAATCCTAAATGATTTCTTTGAGCTTCTTGGGAGAGAGCCAAAAATAGAGGCCAGAATATTTTCAGTAATGGTCATTACACAAAATCTATTTTTCAGGACTCCCCACAATGCCAATGTTTTTAGAAGGGTATTTGGAGATTGTCCATATTTTTACAGGAAATCAAAGCCATAATTCTTGATACACACCAGATTAAGTATGCCGTCCTTGAAACTGTTTTCATAGCTGTATCTCAAGACCATGAAGAATTGTGTATGACTCATTTTCCAGACTCACTAAAAATAATTTATTTTAAAAGTGGATTTTCATATGCATATTTGGCTGCAGGGTATTGGAGAGGGAGAAGAAGCATTTATGAAGCACCTACTATGTGTCAGGCATTGTGCTAAGTGCTTTAGAAATATTATCCCACATGATCCATTATGGTAATAGACCCAAAGCAGAAATAAGTAGTGAGATGCATATAATTAGACCATAGTGTGACTAATCATAGCATTCAACTTAAATGTTCTCTCAGGACCCTAAAGATTCTTCAATGTAACACATGGGAAAAACTTGTTTTCTTTTGTACATATTTATCTATTATGCAAATGAACATAGGTAGGGAGTAAAAACTATTATCCAGATAATTCAAGTCAGTGTTTTCCCTAAAATATCCAGATAATTGAAGCCCTTCTGAGGTGACTTGAGACTTGGCTTATCTGTATCATCACCTTCATTTTTTGATATAGAAGATTCAGCTTAAATGAATGAATTCATAATTCTTGCTTATTTTTCCCTTACGTATCATCACTTTGCCTTAGAAGAAGCTAGATGGCACAGTGGATAGAGCACAAATACTGTAATTAAGAAGACCTAAGATCAAATCCCAACTCAGATACTTTCTAGCTGTGTGACCCTGGGCAAGTTACTGAACCTCTGTTTGCCTCAGTTTCCTAAACTGTGTAATGAAGATAATAATAGCACCTGTCTCACAGGACTGTTGTGAGAATCAAATGAGATAATATTTGTAAAGCACTTAGCACTGAGTCTGGCACATGTCATCACTATGTAAATGTTTATTCCCTTCCTTCCTCTCCCCTTACCCTGCAAAAATCTACTTCTTCCTAATTCTGCCCTCTGAGAACAAGGTGAGCAGAACAAGTTTAATCCTTCTAGCTATGACATGTCCCTTTCCCTTACCCTCCTTCTCAAGTCTTTTCTTTTCCAGGCTAAACATCCCTATTTCCTTCAACTACTTCTCCCAGGGCACTATCCTGCTTGCCTTCCTTAGGATGCACTCTAGCCCACCTATGGCCTTCTAAACTGTGATGCTCAGAATTGAATACAACACTTTAGTGTGTTCTGACAGGGCAGAGGACTTCAGGTCTTTCATTCTGGACATTATCTGATTCATTTTAATTCTATTCAATGTCTTTTAAGAAGGGCAGCTAGGTGGTGCAGTGGATAGAATACCAGCCCTGGAGTCAGGAGGACCTGAGTTCAAATCCAGCCTCAGACACATAACAATCACTAGCTGTGTGACTCTGAAACAAGCAAACAAAAAAAAAACAACAACAACAATGTCTATTAAGCATTTGCTAGTGTAAGGTGGAAGTGGGAAAGGGGAAATTGTTATTACCCAGTCATTTTTCAGTCATATCCAATCCTTCAGGACCCCATTTGGAGTTTTCTTGGCAAAGATAGTGGAGTGGTTTGCCATTTCCTTCTCCAGCTCATTTTGCAGATGAGGAAAGTGAGACAAACAAGGTTAAGTGACTTACCCAGGGTCACACAGCTAGTAAGTGTCTGAGGCCAGATTTGAACTCAGGAAGATGTCTTCCTGATATACATGATATATTCATGATATACATGATTTTTAAGAAGTCCCTCCTTTTTAGGAGTTTATATCATACTGGAGATTTCATTGTGTGTGCACAACTTAAGGAAATGCAAGCCATTTGGAGGAGGGAGAAAATACTAATACCTTCAGGGATTAGGACAGGCTTCTTGTAGGAGGGGCACCTGAGTCAATACTGTGAGGAAGCTAAGATTTCTAAGATGTGGAAGTAAAGACAGGGTGCATTCCAGATGTGAGAAGGCAGCCTCTGAAAAGGCAAGGAGACAAGACATGAAATTCTGAGTCTAGGAAAGATGGAGTAGCCACTTTGACTGGAACATAAGGTACATGGAAGAGAGTAGTATGAAATAACTATGAAAAGGCAGGCTGCAAAAAGATTATATAGGACTTTAATAATAATAATAACAATAGTTAACATTTATACAGCTCCTACTATGTGCAAAGTGCTTTACAATTATTATCTCATTTGATCTTCACAACCACCGTGGGAGGTAGGAGCCAATATTATTCCCATTTTACAGATGAGGAAACTGATGCAAACGGAGGTTAAGTAACTTGCCCAGGGTCATATAGCTAGTGTCTGAAGTCACATTTGAACTCAGGCTTTCCTGATTCTAGGCCCAGCATTCTATCCACACTATTTAAATGCCATGTTAAGGAGGTAGAATTTTGAACAGCTATGAATCAATGTAAACTAGGGCCCATCAGACTCAATTATACATTAGAAAGATTAATTTGGCACTTGTAGGAACGACTGATTGAAGAAAGGAGAGATTAGAAGCAAGGAGACAGGTTTGATGAAGCCTTGAATTAGGTTGGTGGTCATGAAAGTGAAGATAAGGGATGTATGTGAGACTCTGTGTGGGGGGGGGGGGGGGATGGTGGGGTGGCAATGGACAAGTAAAGGATAAAAGATGACTGCTTCGTGAACAAAGCTGGGTAATCAGGATGATGGTACCCTCCACAGAAAGGGGCAAGTTTAGGGGAGGTCAGGTAACTTGGGAGTTGGAGAGAGATAAGGGGTTTCATTTTGTGCATGTTGATTTTGAGGTGTATATTGGGCATCTAAGTAGCAAGGAGGTAGTTAGAGATGTGGGCTTGGAGCTCACTATTCCTCTCAGTGCAGCCTATGATCATCAAATCAGTTTTTGGGCTGTAAGACTATTGCCTCCTAATGACATTGCAATAGAACCAAAAGAAAAAAAAAGGTCATTTTTAGATAAATGTGTCTAGCCCCTCTTCTCTCCATTCTCTACTTGTGCACTTGATTCTTTGAATCCAAGTGTAAGACTTTACTGTTATAGCTATTAAATTTTACCTTATTAGATTCAGACCTTTGTTCTAGCCTTTTTCAATCAAAAGACCATTCAAGAGGCTTAAAATGAGAAGTATAGATCATATATGAGTATAACGTTAGTGTCACCAAAATGTGTAACACAAAATACCTAAATATACTTTGAAGGATTTTATGGCTTTCTTGGATCATAGACTTTCCATCCCCTTTCACACTTCCCCCTCTCCCCAAGCTGAGATCACAGTATTATAAGTGAAAATCTTATTAGAAGGAAGAAAACAAAACAGATGCTTGCAAAAACAACTATTAGCCCTGAGGAGTTATTAAATTTTAAATCCCCTATGTCGATTAGAGTCTTCAATATAAGGGTTTCCCTGGAAGAGCCCTTCTTCACAATGACAAATCCTATTGTCTTTGTTTGACCTACTGCTCCAACTGGTCAAATTTGAGGTAGGAAATGGTGGCCTTTCTACCCTCCCTCACTTTGTCTACATCTTTGTCCCTGTCTCTGATTCTCTGTCTCCCTGTTTCTTTCTGTGTCTTCCCTCCTCCCCTTTCCCTCTCACTTTACCCCTTTCATATTCTCTAGCTCAGTAGTATGACTGTCTGGCAAGTTTTTTCCAGGGCATCCAACTCGATATAAAATAAAAGCCAGTCATCCGAACCCCCTCACCTCTTAGATTGCAAAACTCCCCTCCCTTCTTCATCTTTTTCTTCTCCAGCAGCCATCACTTAATGGTGTCCCACCCATTGGCATGCATATCTGCTAATAGATACCTCCTACCTGTTCCCAATTACTTAAACAGGAGAGGACGAAGGAAGGAAAACAGATGCCAACACCTTTTTCCCTAGTCAACTGTCCTGTATGAAAAGAAACACAGGATCATGGAGCTTCTCCAGGGATCAAATGAAATAGCAGTATAGATGTTTCTAGAAGTGCAGAGAAGAAAATTAATCCTAATCTCATAAAGAATGATAATATAAAAAGGTCATCTTATTTCTTGAAAGCATTTATTCAATTCCCTTCTCATTGTTTCTGTCTCAAAGCCAGCCATACAACTAAAAGAAAAATTAAACTCCTTTTAGATTTAAAAAGCATCATCGCTATCATAATATCAAAGTGATTCCCATGTTTTCAGGACACAACAATATTGTTGTGTGGTTGTTATCTCATGAAGTTCTGCTATAGCTACTTCAGGACTATACGTTTATTTTTTCCCAGGCAGGATGTAAAGATATAAAGGTGGTGCATTCCATGGTCTAACTGTTTCTTGTTTTAAAATGAGATAAAGTTAAAAAACTTATCCCACTTTGGTTTGAAATATTAGGACATTTTAACTAGAGACTTAGCCTTAAGGTACTTTGGTATGTACATTTGTAGTTTTATATGTTTGATGTGCTTTCCCAAGAATTATTTCTTCCTAAAATATTTGTGATGTGACTTATATTTTAATATAATGATCTTTTAAAAAATGAGTGACAGTATATTATAGTGGCTAGAAGAGTAGTCTTAGAGTAAAAAGATCCAGGTACAATGGAAAGAATCTTACTTGACTTTGTGACCTGGGACAAATTACTTAGGCTCCCTCGGCCACAGTTTTCTCTGTCATAAAAATGAAAGGGTTGAGGTAGCCCTTCCCGCTGTGGATCTATGGTGCTATTATCCTATTACCTAGGGTTCAAGTTCTGCCTCTGCCATATATGTGTATGTGTATGCATATGTGTACATAGATATGTGTGTATACACACACACATATAGATGTGTATATGTATATGTACACATACATTATGTGTGTATATATACACATATACATGCATGCATATACATACACACATATATATGAGATATGTGACCCTGGATGTCTCTTAAACTCTCAATTGCCCCCCCTCCCCAACTTTCTAAAACCATCCATTGGAGACATGGTGGAATTATGAAATCACAGATCTGGAAAAGAAAAATGTATTCTGTGGCTTGAATTTATGCTCTGCACGAGAGGCAGTATAGCAAAGTGGCTATGGAGCTTGTCTGGGAGTCCAGAAGATCTGGGCTCAAGTCCTATGTCTGACACATACTGGCTGTGGGATCCAGCCAGGGTTGCCCCAGGCAACTCTCTAACACTCTCAGCTGCAGAGAAAGTACCAGCTCACTTTGGGAGAGGAAATTCCTGACACCAGGAAAATCACAGGTCTGGTCAAAAAAAATTTTTAAGTTGTGTATAATTATATATATGTGCTCTCATTATCTATACCTCTAAATGTGTAATAATCTTCTTTGTATTTTAGTTGATCCTGGTAACTTTTTCATTGGCCGCCACTTCATTATTGGGCTCTCCACAGTTGCCTTTTCCCTTCCTTTATCCCTGTACCGTGACATAGCAAAGCTGGGAAAGGTAATCTCTACAATTAAAATAGAAGCAGAAATGTTCCTTGTCAACTGAATCAATTGTGCCAAATCACAGTCTTCATTGCAGAGTTCTTAATTGTAGTGCTTTCCTGCAAAGCCGAATGATTTATGATTATCCTAAAGCAAACTGTAGTTGAATCATTAGATTGGTCTTTAAGGATCAGTGATTAAATATCACATCACAGTGTGAACCAAATGCGCCCTTTCTTTTTCTTGTTAAAAGCAGGTACTATTCCAAGTCACAAGCTTTGTATCTTAAGAGCAAAAAACGAAAAAGGACTCTATATAATATAATATATAACATATATCCATATATAATGTACATGCAAGTAGGATTTATTAAAATGTATTTTCCAGCCTTTTTAGGTAGCTAAAACAATATCCAGATTTAAATCTGTGGCATTAGTAGCAAAAATTCAGCATAGTATATCAATTAAATTTCAGCATCTTTTATCAGGAAAGTTATCATCAAGTCACAACTGAGATAATGCATTTAGTTATTGGTATTACATTTCGAGAAAGACAGACATGCTAGAGCACATCCAGAGAAGAGTGAGAAGAAAGGTGAAACTGAAAAACATTCCCAATCAGATAAGATTGGCTGGGGAGGGGAGGGGAGAGGGAAAAGGGGAAGAGGACAAACTCAGATTTAATCAGCTTTATCTCAGAGAACGGAACAAGGAAAAATAAATTTTAAAAAATTGCAGAGGAAATCTTAACAATTAGGGCCATGTAGAAGTGAAATGAGCTACCTCAGGAAGTAATGGCTTCCCTCTACTAGGATCCAAAGCAAAAGCTAGGCAACAACTTGTCGAAGTCTGTGCTCTATGACCTCACATGCATAATCAAAATCAAATTGTTTGTCTTCTCAAGGAGGTGGGATGGTAGAAGGCAGGGAAAAAATTTGAAATTCAAAATTTTTAAAAATAATTGTTAAAAAATTTCACAGGTAATTGAGAGATACATAATGAAATAAAAATAATTTTAAAAAATTAAGTATATGCTATTACAGATTTAGTTAGACCAGATAGCCTCTGAGGTCCCTTACAACTCTTAGATTCTATAATTCTTTTTTGGTCCATTTCTACCATAATAAAATATAATTGATTACTAAGTACTATCCATTTGTTGCTAACATCTTTTGTCAGGTTTGATAAATTTTTAAATTATTATTACTGCAAATAATAATAATAATAATAATAGCTACCATATTGGGCTTCAAGTTTGCAAAGTATTTTAATCTGGTAAATGCCTGGTCTCTGTCCTCGTAAGAATTATCAACTCTGCACTTCACAATAAAGGTGCAACTGTAGCCTTTATTTATTACTGTACTTTTATTCAAGTATGACTCTTGGAGCATACTTCTTGTTGAACTGGACATATTTGCATTAAGTGTTGTGCTCAGTGTGAAGTAACAAGGAAGAAAAGAACCCACTGGATTTGGAGTCAGAGAAGCTGGGCTCCAATCCCAGTTCGGCCACTTACTACTTGGGTAACCTTTGGCAAGTCCCTTAACCTCTGGGCCTCAGTTTCCTCATTTATAAAATGATTGTGTCGGATTAGTTGAACTCTAAAGTCTCTTCCAGCTCTAAATCTATGACCCTGCTAACCTAACGGCAAACATGATGATGAGAAGTGAAAACTTGTCATTCATCAGGAATTTCCTTGTAATTTCTTAGTAATCCAATCAATTTTAAACTTTGCTTCTCTATGGTACATTCACAGTTATAGGGATATGTATGCAACATAGAGCTAGGCTAATGATAGGGCAGCTAGGTGGCACAGTGGATAGTGTGCTAGGCCCAGAGTCAGGAAAACCTAAGATCAAATCCAGCTGCAGACGGCATTCAGCAAGTCATTTAACACTGTTTGCCTCAGTTTCCTTGTCTATAAAACAAGCTGGAGAAGGAAATGGTAAACCATTCCAGTATCTTTGCCAAGAAAACTCCAAATGGAGTTGGGAAGAGTTGGACGTGACCAAAACAACTGAACAACAACAAATGAGGTTCCATCCTCTTTCTCCCAGACTTTCCCCCTGAAATACCCAGGTTTTGTCCAAAGTATCATTTTGCTTGAATTATCTAGATCATTACAACAGTTTTTCACTTAATAGTAGGAATATAAACATAGCCTGCCTGGCTGTATTTGTCATTTGCTTCATTTCATTCTGGTTTTTTCTCATCTATATGCTTTTATATTGTAGAAAAAGGCAGGAGAATTAAAAGGAGAACCTTCCCACTGTATTTGATATTTTTAACATTCTTTTTGCTTTTCCCTTTAATGTCAATAAATCAACAGACTTTTATTAAATGCCTACTATGTTCCTCTGTGCCTATTATGCCAGAAAAATACAATGAGTGAAATAATTCCTACTAGAGAGGAGCCTACATTCTATTTTTTATTTGATATATACAAAAACTAAGGGAAAACTGTCAATAAGGCAAATCATTCAAGAGTCCTCAAATGCCAGGAAATCAAAAGAATTCCTGGCAGAAGTGCATACATCTGGCCCATTAGGCCACTCTGCTACCCTGACAGAAGAAAGTGGCCAGGAAGTATCAGCTAGAGAGCTGGTCTTGAAGCTAAGATGACATGGGTACATGTCCCACTTTTACAGATACTACCTGTACAATCACGTGCAAGTCACTTAACTGCCCAGTGCTCTAAAGTCAGAAGTAGCAGAGCAGGCACTGAACTGTACTGTAGAGGGAGTTTTCTCAACAGGGAATATCTTAAGCTGTTAAAATCACAGATCCAATCTCTATTCCTAGCCCTTATAGGCAGGGGTGTGCTGATAAAGGTTTAATGACTGACTATCCTAAAAAAAAAAAATTATACCTGTTAGACTTTTAAGTTTAATATGCATTATTAACATTTTCTCCATAATAACTTTCTTAAGTCAAAACAGTCAATGAAACAGTAAATCAAGCCCTGATTTGTAGTGTTTGCCAATTAATTACATTGAAAATTTAACAATCAGCACCTGAGAGATGGCTTGAGTTGACTCCAGCACACCCCTGTTTATAGCAGAAGTGAGATGTTTTTTCTATTAGGAACTACCAACTAAAAGAAAAAAAATATTAATCAAAGATCAGATGCATTTCTTAAAAAGATTTTCTCTCTCCATACATCTACGAGAAAACATACAAATTTTTTATAAACCAGCTTTTAGAATTAAGAACAGAAAAAATGAAATATGCACATCTATTTTATGTAATTTATATACATTTAGCATATACAATTTAAATTTAATATTAGTACTGTGATATAACAATTAAAAGAGAAATGAAAAAGAAAAAGAAGGAATGAGGAAGAAAAGGGCACAGAGAGAGAAAGAGTCTGCAGACAAAGAGCCAGAAAAATAGGCACACAGACACAGACACAGAAAAACAAACCCAGAAATATAAATAGAAACATCCACACAAATACAGACACAGACAAGGAGTCATACCAATTACCAACTTACAGCTGTCCATCAAAATCCACTAACAGCTTGCAAATCTGGTTGTGGTTTTGCAGAAGCAGCTGTATATGGTGATATCATTACTCAGTACCTACCCAGTGGACTGGATAAAAAAATACGTAGTCAACAAATCTTTATTTTCTAATAATTTCTAATTTATTTTCTAATATATGTTAGGCATTGAACTGAGTGTTGGGGGATACAAAGAAGGGCAAATAAACAAATAAATGGATATATAGATAAATAAGTAGATAAATAAGTGAATAAATAAAACTCCAATCCCTGCTCTCAAGGAGCTCACAGTCTAATGGGGGAGGTAACATGCAAAAATGACTGACAAACAAGATATCTACAAGATAAATTAGAACTTTAGAGGGGAGCCACAAGCATTAAGTCAAAGCTCAAATCTGACCTGTAGGCCGGAGTTTCCCTATCCTTATCTATAGCAATAAATAGAATTAACAAGTGATTCTCAGTGTATTAAGCAATCAGAAAAGCCAAATCTGGTTAAAGGAATAAGGCAAGATTAAAATGAAAGTATCTTTATCAATAAACTGATGACACTTTTGTATTTTCTCTTGCAGGCATCCCTTATTTCTGCAGTTTTAACTGCAGTGATCCTGATATTTGTAATTGTTAGAGTATTCACCCTAGGTCCATACATGTAAGTTATTTTTGTTATTAATTTGATCTTGAACTTAGAGTCACCATATATGTGTCAAATACTGAAACAACATATATATTAAAGAGGGTTGTATGGTAGCTGTGTGAATGTGGCCAAGTTACTTCATGCTTGGTGGAATGGGGATAGAGTGTTAGACTTGGACTCAAGAAGACCTTTGTTCAAATCTGGCCTCAGACACTCACTAGCTGTGTTACCCTGGACAAGTCATTTAACCTCTCTGCATCTAACTTTCTCCATCTATAAAATGGAGATGATACTTACCTCACTTACATATGTATCTCACGCACCTATACATACCTACCTCACAAGGGTCTCATAAGGATTAAATAGATACCACATGTAAAGAGCTTTGCAAAGTTAAAATGCTCTCTAAATGCTAGCTATCATTATTTTCCTCACCTGTAAAATGTGGGTACTAATACTTATACTACCTATCTCACAAGATTGTTCTGAGAAAGGAGGAAGGAAGGAAGGATTTATTAAGTGCCTACTATGTGCTAGGCACTGTGCTAAGCACTTTACAAATATCTTATTTGATTTTCCCAACAACCCTGGGAGAAAGATGCTATTGTTTTTATATAGTTGAGGAAAGTGAGGTAGGCAATGTTAAATGATTTGCCCAGAGTCACACAGCTAGTAAGTATTTAAGGCCGAATGTGAACTCTGGTCTTCCTAACTTGAAGCCCAGCACTCTATTGACTGCATAGATATTCTAGAGAGAGTGAAGAGAAGGCACTTAATAAAGCCATAGGGTTGAAATAATTTTAGAAAACACTTTGTAAACTCTAAAGAACTATGTAGATTGAGCTGTTATCATCATATTCTTCATCATTATCTTCATTGTTTACCAGAGTGGAAAGAAAATCACAAATGATCTTTTCTGTTGAAATTCGTATTGCTGGCAGGATTAAAATTATGGGTCATTGTAATTTTAAGAGAAGGCCCTGAGCAGTGACTTTAGTCTCTTGGAATAATAATTCTTAAAGGTGGGGAGCAAAGAAACCATGGAACCAAGTAGCAGGAGATGGAGGAAACTTCTGTTTCTCCTCCATAAAAGTCTTCATTTATGATAGCAAAAGGAACATCAGAAATATACTTAATTATTTCTAGGATATCTCCTTCCAAAAAACTCAAGTCCTTTTATCTAACTTCATTTCAGTTACTAAATTTAAATTTCAACATCTTAGGAAAGGAAATAAAAGAAGATAAAGACATTGGGCAACTTCAACCAAACAGGACCTTGTTTATCTAGTGGTGACACCAGAGATTTAGTGAAAATGTATCCCAAACTCTAATTAATAAATACCATTTTATCTTAATCTACTATGATTAGACAAGTCACGAGATTTTATTAAGCTGTGTTTAAGAACCAGAAAACATTAGTTCAAGGGTATAGCTGAATGAAACTTAGTTTGCTTCAGGGATGTGTATATCATCATTTGTATATCATCTGTGGTCTATGGATGTACTTGTTCAGTCTTCAATATTTGATGATTCATCAAAGCAGATATTCCTTCCATCAGTGAAGACAGCAGCCCAGCTTTGCCTTCTTGCATTGTGTGATTCTTATCTGTGTTCTTCTACAGAACCTTCCCAGTGGATTCACTCAATGTACCTACAAGCCTTCCTCTAGGTCTTTCGACATGTTAAGAATATGAGTGGAGCACTTGGCCTGTCCATCTGCTGCTCCTTGCTTATTTCACATGACTGATCCATTTTCATTTCCATTCAGACATTCCTTCCAGGGGGCGGCAAACTATGCTGTGGACCACGACAGCCCATTTTTGTATGGTTTGTGAGCTGAGTGTTTTTTTACACTTTTAAATAAAATTTTAATGTACTTAAAAATGTCAAAAACCATTCTTAGTTTGTGGGCCATACAAAAATAGTCCATTGTTGGCCAGTCTCTGCCTTATGCCACTTCTCTAGCATAGGTCATTACTAAAAATGTGCAGAAGAATATTTGCACTGACCACAAGTCTCTCAATTTCCCTTTAAGACACTCTTGACTTTGAGTTCTTGAAAACTGTAATATTATAAGATTCTAAACCATAAATAGCCATGACTGAGAAAAATTTCTATTGAAAATATGAATCTTTACTCTAAGGAGTGGCTTATGATCACTAAAAAACATTGTGGCTCTTCCTCCTGTTCACATCTGTGTCCAACTCATCCATCCACAACGTCAATCCCAAACATAGGCAGTGATGCACGAACTGCCCTGGAGTGACCATCTAACTGCATGTTTTAGTCTAGATGGAAAGCATTTGTTATCCAATTCATTTTTCTTCTATGAGTCTTTTGAATAATCATAGCTCTCACCTAAGGAGAGGAAAGGAGGAAGGGAAAAAGCATTCATTAACGCCTACTTATGCCAGGCACTATGTTAAGTACTTTATAAATATCTCATTTGATCCTCACAACCCTGCAAGATACATGATGCTATTATCCCCATTTTATAGTTGAAGAAATTGAGGTAGATGGAGATTAAATGACATGACAACAGCCATCCAGCTAGTAAGTACTTGAGGTTGGATTTAAACTCGTCTTCCTGACTCTAGGCCCAGTGATCTATCCCCTGAGTTACTGTTGTTCAGTTGCGTCTGACTCCTTGTGACCTCATGGACCAGACTTTTCATGGGGTTTTCTTGGCGAAGATACTGGAGTGGTTTGCCATTTCCTTCTCTAGTGGATTAAGGCAAACAGAAGTTAAGTGACTTGCCCAGGGTCATACTGCTAATAAGTGTCTGAGGCTAAATTTTAATTCAGGTCTTCCTCACACCTGGTCCAGCACTTAATCCACTATGTCATCTAGCTGCCTGCTGAGCCACCTACATGCTTCCCATTATAGGAGACCATATAATAATCTGGAGTTTGAATCAATTAACACAATGCCACACATAAACTAAAACATCTGGAAGACCTTATTGTCTATGGGGAATCCCACCACCTTTTGGACCTTGTGCAAGACATCCTCTATAACTGTGGTAAAAATTCTGGGCAAGAACATTTCTCCTGTTTTATTTCTTGCTTATTAATATTAATAATCAGTGGGTCAAAATTATCTGTGGTTGCGTATGTCAAAGAAGTTTGTCTAATCTTAATATACACAAGAGACTTCTTATTGGAAGAGAGCATTTAAGACTTTGTTTTGTTATACAGTTAAATGCTTTCTGGCAATCACCAATTGAGAACACAACAAAATCTTGTATTCACTGTACCTTTCAGTCAATATTTGTGTGGCTATAAAAATATGATGTGGTATAGGGAATCATTTGCAAAAGCCTGCCTATCCTCCTCTCAAATTTTTTTTTCGGGATACCCTTAATAATTGGCATATTTTCAAATTTCAGAGAAACTTTCACTTTTGATATTTTCTCTATTCTAAAGGAAACTGTGTGAAATGGATTAGGAAATTATCTAGCAGCCAATCCTTCAAAAACCCCCTCAAAAATTATTTTTATATTGACTCATTAGATTTTTGTTCTGTAAAATCACTTAATTTTGTAATTATGTTTACAGCAGGCTTCTCCTTGGTTTTAGTACCAATCACTTTAACACAAAATATATCAAGTTCATTTGGAAAGAAGTGTGAGCTAGTTGGCCTTTTTATTTAATAAATAAAAGGCTTTTATTTTTTAAGGCTACTTTTAAAAAAGTTCTAGTATGAGAAAGATATATGTTTTTATAGCCATTAATATTTTACATTTCAATAATGTTAGTCCATACTGTTCAATACAATGTTTTTATTTTCCATATATATTCAATATGATTTCTATTCCTGTATCTACATACATAGACACATTAAGGCAGAATAAACAACAATAATGATAACTTAATATGGCACTTTGGTGTCCAAAATTATTTGCCCATAAGAATCTTGTAAGGTGAGGCAGCCAGGTGGCACAGGGGATAGAGCACCGACCCTGGAGTCAGGAGGACCTGAGTTCAAATCCGGCCTCAGACACATAACACCTACTAGTTGTGTGACCCTGGGCAAGTCACTTAACCCCATTGCCTAGCCAAAAAGAAAGAAAAAAAAGAATCCTGTGAGGCAAATTGTACAATCATCACCTGCGTTATAAAATGGTGAGAGTTTATGTGACTTGTGAATAGTCACACAACTAGTAAAAATGGAAGCTGGGATTCAAACTCAGTTTTCCCAATTCCAGCTTCAGGGCTGTCCTATTATGCCCCGCCCCTACAAATTATGGTTTCATTATAATATTTCTTCCAAAAGATTAAATTATTTCATTCTGAAACATTGCCTCACAAAGATCCGTTCTTTAAACTGCCAAGAGGGGCAGGTAGATGATGCCGAGGATAGAGCACTGGTCTGGAGTCAGGAGGACCTGAGTCCTCAGACACTTGACACTTACTAGCTGTGTTACCCTGGGCAAGTCGTTTAATCCTGATTGCCTTGCAACAATAGCAACAACAACCAATAATAATAATAATAAACTGCCACAAAAGTTTTTGTTTATTTGGCAAGTATAACAGAATAGGCTGACATGAAGAAAAAAAAATAAAAATAATTCATTATTCATTCAATTAACATATGTTGAATACCTCCCAAGTACAGGACATTATGGGGGATACAAAGTTAAATAAGACATTGTCTCTGGCTGCCCTTAAGCCTGCAAATACATTTGTAACACTAGTGGCTGGTTCTTTCTCCTTTCTGTTCCTTCCTCTCCTCTAGAGGAGATGAATTTGAATCTCTCACCTAGGCCTCACCTATTTCCACCTTAATCTTTTCTCTTCTCACACTAGAGGCCAAAGATTTAATTAGCCACACTGTGTTCAAACAGCTATCTTACTTTTGGCCATAGGGCAATGAAATGTCCCTTAGGTCCACATGGCCCCTTTCTCTACTCTTTTATGGACTTGATTGGAGCAGACAAAAAAGTCATTAGGACTCTTCTAATTTAAAGTCTATATATCTAACTAATCCTTTATCTATATAAGTTTGATGAAGC